CTTTTTGTATAAGAAAACAACAAACCATGTTGTCTTGAACACTGCGATGCAATTGCTGGGTGAGAAACCCCCCTGATGAGGGGCAAAGCTGTGGCCTTTTTGCCATCTTGGCTTTTCCAGGCAAAGGTGACATTCACCCAGAGATGAATTTGCTTGAACCTGATGTCTCCTATGTTGGTAAAATGCATATCTGGGTGCACGAAGCACCCAGATATCTATATGATTTAGACACCCTAAAGGAATGTGAAATGTAGGATCAAACCAAGTTTTCCCATCAATGGTTTTATCAATACTCTTTGCTGTTGGGCTTGAGGGTTATGTAGAAACAGAAGACAGTGCTCTTACACCAAGGACTAGTTTGGCTTATAGGTGATTCTTACCTTTACACCGACTGCTTAGGACTCAGGAAAATGCCTGAAAGTAAATGAGCTTAAAGTCACCTTAGTTAGAAAGCTGAGTATGCTTCTTTTTTGACCAAAGGGAATAAATTAATGAACCGAAAGATCTGATGCCTTGGAGGCAGAGGAGGGACAGAAGCTGCAGGAAGGCAACCTGCATCCTCAGCTTTTAGAGTAAAAACTGCATGTGAAATACCACCATGAAGCATGTATGAATAAGAGGAAAAAGCTGGGATTTGCCTGCAGTTGTTCATTCTCCAACCAGCACAGTGTTGGAGCACAGAGATAAAAGCGAGGAGGCACATGGGGCAGAATTCATCATTCACCTCACAACCCAGGGCAAGGAAATACAAACCCAAGGGTTTCCTTCAAATGCCAAGGGCAGCTCAGTAGCAGCCCCCTCTTCTCACTCTACTCCCCTGCTGCATCCAGGGCTTATGCATCTGTATGGTTGAAACTTGGGAGCAGTGAAGCTTAAGTCAAAAGAAAGGAAGAAGCTGCCTCTGACTTTTGGGGGGGGGGAAAAAAGATTAGGAGCAATTACACATTTACAATGCCAGTCAAAGAAGCTAATATGTCTCACACTGAAGTGGTCAGCATGAGAGCTGTGCTAGATAAGCAGCCAAAATGTACATTTCTTACTTAAACTAAAAGCTTGGAGGGTAGAATAAAAGACTGCAGTTCCACCCTGGTTCTAATGAATGGATTTTCCCCTCTTGCACACTGACATACATTTGATGTAGTTATTTATCCTATATATTTCTCACAGCTATTTCCCAGGAGACCTTGTTTATCTCGCTCATAAGTACATGATGGATGTATGGTGCTTTGGATAAATGGTATCACAATCAGATATTTTTATGGATATAGGCAAACTGGGTTATTAACAAAGGAAGGACAGGGAGGAACCAGTACGCAAAAGAAAATAGCAGATGATTGATGACAATACACCTGAGGTTGCAAGGTGCAGGCTCCAGATAACCAGCTAACAGAAGAGAAGATAAGGACAGTGCTTGAGACAGAGCTGTTTTCTGCCTCGGGGTCAATGTCACGCTGACTATCCCCACGCCTGCAGCCCTCTGAGCCTGTGATTTTACAGCAGGCAAGAATTCCTCACCAAGAGCAGCTCAAGAATCATTGTCTTTTTTTACACAGTGTAATGCAGAGGCACAGGAAGATACAAAATGCTTCATTCTACCCCCCCCCCCAAAAAAAAATCCCACAAAAAACCCCCAAAAAAACCTGAAACAAAAGAAATGCCAGATTTTGGAGGGTTTGGGGAGGGACTGGCATTTGCTGTGCTGCTCTAGCAGGGCCAACACAGTGGGACTCTTGGTGATGCATTATAAATAAGTAAAAAAAATCTATGTTCATAATAGTAATAATTACTGTCTTCATCTCCAGTTTTGTTGATATGCAGAAGCAGGGGGGTGTTAAAATAGACTATAAAAGGAAGACATATCTACAGGCATAATTAGACCTGAAATCTGGCAGTTGTCTTGGCTACTCACTGGGCTTTTCAGCCATCAAGGCAGGAGTTGGAAATCTGGGGACTGTTAACCCCTCTGCATGGGTTGCTTTCAACAAAATCTCTTCATCTGGGAGAGAACCTCAGGAGAAACAACTATATCCATCCAATAACAGGAGAAACAGGAGCATGGTAAAGTAATTTAGCAATACTACAGCTACTGCAGGGTTTGCAAGTCCCCAGCCACAGCCCAAACCATGTTCCAGCCTCACAGGTAAACTTAACATGTCTATGTGATATGAAATGACAGGGAGCAAGTGACTCCAGGCTGGAAAACAGTCTGATTTACCCATTCCTGGTGGAGATGATAGGGGCTGCAAGAGTAAGGTTGGTATTCTCCTGGGAAAGCTGGATGTGACAATTACAACTTACTTAAAATATCCATTGGGGAGCTTCCAAAGCCATGTTGACCAGATCTAGCACACCTTACAGCAGCAATGTCTTCAAGAAGAGATGGTGGAGACAAAGCAGCTTCTCCATCTCTACTGAGCTTCTTTTTTTTTTTTTTTTTCACAAGCAAGCTGCTTGTGAAAACATAACCTGGGAGGTAGTAAAGGCCATGGAGACAAGTGACTTAACCCAAGAAATGGGCAGTTGAAGCATGAACACACCGTGTCTGCAGCTTTCCCAGGTTTTCATATGTGGGTTATTCATCTAAACTTGTACACAGGAAGCAGAAGTTAGAAACACCAGTAAAAGATAGCAGCAAAATTTAGTGCCTACCAAAATGAAACGATAAAAGCTTCAGCATAGTATTTTTTATTGCTCTCTAGAACACAATAAATCATTAGTTAGTTGAATCAAAGCACAAAAATCACAAAGACAAGATAAAATTATGTCCTTTATGGGAGGTTTCTAAGTCTGTAAGCTCAATATTCACCCTCTACTGAAATCACACTTCAGTTAGACTATCCTGCTGGTCTTGAAGATTGCCCAATCTCTCTTTTCTTCCTCAAAAAAAAACCAAACCCAAACCAAACAGCCCAGGCACTGCCACTTCAACAAATCTGGCCTTTTTTGATCTGGGAAAAACAGTCCAAACTGAGGTTGTTGCCCTTGGCTCTGCTTGCCACAGCAGGAGGTGATGGATGCACCATGGCTATGTGTCAGAGTGCTTACTCCAGCCTGATGATCAGGAGAGGTGCTCAAATTTACAAAAGCCACTTGATTTGTCTGAGAAAGTTCCTAAATCAGTTTACAATGATGCTCCTCAAGAAAAGCAGGCAACCACACTGCAATACATGTCCTCACAGGCACCTATGAACCATGACCAGGGTCCTCTGCTGCAGAGCTTCTACAACATCCCTTTAAAAACATTGAAGAGCATCAAACTCCACACAAGCAGTGACCTCTTTGACCATGACCCGAAATGAACCCCTTGGCAAATTTCTATCACACAAAAGATAACACAGTTACAGAGAGGATAACAGAAATATTTTGTGTTGGCAGCTCAATTATGAAGCCCATAATGAGTACAGAGCACTCTCACTCTTCTTTTACATATGCAATGTGCTCTTCCTTTCTTAAAGCTGTCACAGAAACCTTGTCAATAAGTGTGGAGGCGGCATGAGGGCTACAACTAAATGCATGTTCCATTGTTCAGATGTCAGAGAGCCTGAGCTGTTCTTATAAGAATTGCATTTAGACAACGTCAGTCTGAAAGGAGAGAAACTGGTGATACCAACCCATCATCACCATCAACGTTAAAAAAACCCTCAAAGAGTGTTTGACCTTGCAGATGTTAGAAGACTCACAGCACTTATGAACAACTTTGCACTGGTGGAATCATTTTCCTGCAGCAAAGCTATTGCAAATGTCTTTGCAAAAACCACTAACCACCAATAAAGCTGTAGGAGGCACATCCCTGGAACGATCCAGGCTCAGGTCAGTCATGAAATGGTGCACAGTACTACAAGTTCTTCACAGTGGGTGATGCACAGCTCCAGGGACACTAACAAAGGGCAAGCCACTTTGCTTTGGCTCTTTCCATAGCAAGTGCTCTCCATCTTGGATGTCTTGAGTGGACTAGCAATGCAGCTGCTGAAATACAAGCTTTCACTGGATGATGAACTAATGAATCAGAGCCTGTTTTGGGCAGAAGCAACTACTAAGGGCAGAAGACCTCAGGGGATGTGCAAAGATGTCCATGACAGAAAACCTGGTTGCTCATCCTGCTCCAGCGGAGGGTCCCAGCACCCTGGAGTCCCAGCCCCTAGTCAGGGTGCAGCCTCTCCTGCAAGTGCAGCCATCTCTCCTGCCTTCCAATATCCCCAAGCAGCAGTTGCTTTCCAGTTCCCCATCACAGCAGCATCCCTTTGACCTTCCCTCCCCTTCCCAAAGAACCAGAGCACTGGTGTATCTGAGCATACCAGGGTGTATCCCATGCTCTCCGTGTACCTGTTCTACTTCAGAAGCCCCTAGGAGGAAGCTCATCACTGCAGCAGAAGTACAACTGCACTTTGGTGTCACCAGACTGTTCTTCACAATTCAGTTTTCACTCCTTCTAGACAGTTTCTAATACAGCAGACCATTAAAGTTAAGTAAAATAAATTTGGAAACTGGAGCAGTGAAGCACAACAGCTTTTTAAATGTCACACTAGATACCACGGTGCTTGTGGAGATTTAGACTTTCCTGTAGTTTGCTCCACATGACACAGCTGTCTTCACAGAAGATGCATATTAGTGCACACTCTGGTGCATGTAAGATCAGACAGGCTTTTCTTATCTCAAAGGAACCTTCAAAACCAAGACAGTAAGATTTAAAATCATGCAGCTACCAAATAAGGCAGGAGATAAAGCTTGTCTCAGTCAGCTCATTACAATAAAGACAGAGAAGGGTCAAAATACCAAGAAGAGTAAGCACATTTAATCCCATGGGACAACTTCAAAGCACGTCCAAAGGTGTGATTCATAACACACACCCAGCTCCCAACATCTGAAATGTTTCCAACTTCAACGCACTTGGGTAGGACCTGTAAGCAGACCAAAGCCAACCAGGCAAGCAGTCAAGGAACATCTTCTTACTCAGTCTGCCAACAGTTTTTTGGTTTTGTGCGAGTTCCTAATGATTTCCTCTAGCAAGGAGCTGTCTCAGCATCTGGCCCTGAGCATGACGAGCCCCCGTTTTGTGGGGCAGGGTTGTTGCATTGTCGTCTCCTTGTTCGTTGACCTCCTGAGCATGGAGACCAGCTGGCCCAGCATCCCCAGTTTCCATTAATAGCAGCATCTGAAAATAAAACACAAAGCCAGAAAGGACTGTCAGAATAAAGCAGCTCTTGCCATGGGAAGAGCTGTCAGCTTCCATGAACCATATTTAAATACAAACAGCTCTCCCCCTGTCCACACCACTAACAATACACTTGAGTCATTAACGATAAGGGATTGTTTTAAAGATGTTAATTCTCTGTTTAGCATTTCTGGTGTTTGTTCAAACTACATCATGCAGCAAGGACAAGATAAAAAAAATCAATTAGCTTTATGTTTGCTTATAGGACATTTCTCTCTGCGACTTAGTCCAAGCTTAGGTAAGAAAAACAGCAGCTAAACTCCTGTCAGCCACATTTTGAGGGGCAAGGGGAAATGTTAGCATGTTCTTCTTCAATGAACAACAGCTTGAATATTCAGCTTTCTACCTGTTGCTTTTCCTATTACACTGTTTCTTCTGGACCCTGAGCATGTGAGTGACATAAATTCAAAATCCTGAGAATCACGGAGCTGAACACGAAGGCAACACATAAAAGGAGGAAACAGGAGTGAGAAAGGAAATCACATGTTGACAAGGGGATGGATACGAGTCTTTGGGAGGGTCAGATGAGATTACACGTGTGGTAAGCAGACTGGAACAAGGTGTAAGTGACTCCACAGATTAAGGCTCCATGGACTTCCTTAGAAACACCTACAAAAATCATCCTCTGCTCAGTGAAATCGTGGCCTAAGAGGTATTTCAGCCTGGCTTAGTTAGAGCACAGTCATGCAGAATGAGAACTCGATAGAAGCCTGTAAACAAAGCACAATGATAAATGCAGTGCATCAAATTGTGGGATGGTGCCAGAGCTCTGGGTACCTGAGACCTGGTATTATTTAGCATCTAAATTAATGAGCTGGAAGAAGTAAACAAAATGATTAAATTCACAGATCATTCTAAACTAGAAGGAGTTAAGAACAACAGTCAGGAGAGAGCAGTGATAGAAAGGGAACAAGAAGCAGTAATAAATGCTTCAAAACAACATAATAAGGTTTTAAGATTAAAATGCATGGTAGCATGTCTGGGGGAAAACAGTTTGCAACATACTGGCTGTATCAGAGGGAAAAACTTAGGAAACAGAGCTGTTGGAGGAAACTTGAGGCTTGTCATGGATTGTGAATGACCTATTGTATTTTGACACAATTGCAAGGTGTTTTTGTGCAGCTCTGAACTGCAAAAGTAAAGCCACCTCCTCCTGAATGCACAGGTATTTAGAAGAGAGCATGCCAAATGGTGTGGCACCTCTGCAGGACCCTAAGCCCTCCTGCATTGGGCTGGGCAGGGTGGGGACAGCCAGCACTGGGCATTACTCCCCCCCATCAGCCCCCACCCCTTCTGGGACTGTCTCCTTGGACTTGGGGTCCCATTTACCTTTCTTCTTGCTGATCTCACAGGCAGTGCCTCTGTAGCCAAGAGGACACAAGCACTCACACTTGGTTCCTGAAAGTGAGGAGAGATGGTGAAATTACAGACTTCAGGTCACATTGCCCTGCAGACACCTATTTCTTTTTGGTGCTTCATCTTCTGTGAGGAAGGGACAGTGGGTGAAATGATATCAGCATTTTTCTCTGATGCTGAAAGCATAAAACAGCAATAAAGCAGGGGAGCTGTGACTGCCCTGCCACCCCTCTCTCCTCCCTGGCCATTTGTTCCTGCCACTGCACTGCAGCTCAACCTCAGCTGCAGCAGTGCAGCCATTCAGCAAGCCAGGGTACCACCCAGTCCCCTTGCTTCTCTCCAAAAGAGAGGCCTTGACAGAGCTGAGAGGGAGCAAACTGCAGCATCCGGGGATGAGCACCTGGGACAAGAGCATCCCAGCTTGGTTTTGTGGCAGAGGAATAGCCCACCTCACCCCACACCAGCTGCTCAAGTCTGTGATGTGCCTCCCACAACAGGACAGCAGGAGGAGAGCTCTCACTCAGGAAAATGAATGGTCATTTAAAAATCTCTTGTGGAGAAGATATGAAATGAAAAGCTAACCTGAATTAGCTCCTAAAAAGTTATTTAAACAATCGTAATCATGACATGAATCCTTGAAGTGCTACAATCAACTAGCTGGTACCTGAAGCAATCCTTTCTGCATTAGCTACATTTAGATGATAACAAGTCTCATCAGGACTTTTGCAGATGCAGATTGGAATTAGGCACTTGACAAAACAGTCCCTTTGTTAGAAGCTCTCATCACCTCATAGATCTCTGTTTAGGCAGTGCGGGTTTCATTCAGTTTGATTATTTTCCCCCTTCATTTTTAAATCACAGCCTGCTTAGGAAGGAGGACAGCTTCTATTAGAAATGGGGGATGGTGACAGTGATAACAGTGCTTGGCACTTAAATAGTGCTTTTCATCTTCAAAACACTTTTACAAACACTAATTAATGCTGAGACTAGTCACTGCTCTAGGAGGGTGGAAGCAATCTTAACAGCAAAGGAGGAGACTTAAAGATGTCGAGGTTTGGGGTTTTTTTTTTTAAATGCATAATTGAGAAGGAACAAATTCTTCCACAAAACTGTTATGGATGGCCATTGCCATTAAAAAGACATGTCCCTTGACTTTATTGTCTTTACTTACCAGTGGCATTCTGCAAATAGACCAACATTAAAAAAAAAAAAAAAAATGAATTATCTGAGCAAGAAATGTCAGGAGAAACTAAAGAGCAGATGACTCGCCAAGCATCCTCACTCTCCATCAATTCCCAGCTCATTTCTCTCCAGAGAGGTGAGAAGAGGTGCAAAATCCTCTACCTTGCAGCAAGGGGATGCCATTGCCAAGGCACGGAGCACAGTGACAGGAACTGCTCTCTAGCTGAAAGTCATCAAGAGCCCGTCGGAGATTCTCTTTTATTGTGATTGCGTTAGCAAAGTCATTTGGAGTCACCAGCTGGTACAGAGGCTCTGCCTAAAGGGAGGGAAGAAACTGCTTTAAGTTTCCCAGTTCAGGATGGTGTGAGCATTGCAGGGCTCAGTGGTGGCACAGCTGGAGAGGGAAATGAAGGCTTCGTGGTTCAGGCTCCACGTTTCCCACCAGTATTTCCTTAAACCTCACGAGCAGCAAGCCAGCAATGTCAGCAATACTTACAGGGGTCCTCCCCTGGGTTTACAACACCACAGCAGTTGCAAATGTGTAACAGAACACAACAGCCATACCTCTGGTTGACAACTGGGCCAAGCTTCTCAGAAGTTTTGTTAAATCCTTGCTCATCCGTTTTCCTGATATAGACATTTTTAGATCAGATTTACTCAAACTTACCTCTCCTGAGTGCTCTCTTACTGCAATTTAAAAAAGGTCTCCCAAAAACCCACCCACAAAAATCTCCTTCATTCCTCCCACGGCCACAGGCATTCAAATCTGTGCTTTCACCATAACCACTTCTGCATGTCAAGGCTGATTTCTCTCTTTATGAAGCCTTCAGAAGGGATTTTTTTTTTCCCCCTGAGAACAAGGGAAAGTTAAAGTGTGGTCTCAATATTGCCAGTCACCCACTCATGTCAGTGGGATGACACTGGCACATGTCATCAGAGGATCCAGCCTAAATTCCCATCCTTGCTGTAGAGCTGTCTGCCATGCAGGCCACAGCACAACAGTAAGCATGAAAGATCACCCTATTGCTACCACAGGCTCAAGCTACAAGAAATAGAAGAATCTTTCCATAAAGAAAAAATACTCATTTCCTGCTGCTGTACATCCACTCTTCATCAATTATCTGTGATCCATACTTTGCTTTTTGAATTTAGATCATACAAATGAGGAAACACACTAAAAGTGACCTGCCAAGTCCTTTCAGCAGATGATTTATGAACTGATTTGCTTTAGTTTTCCCTAACTAAGCATTCTTGTGCTGACATTTAGTCACACTCTGCTGGTACTTTTGATCTTCAAGCCCCACAGGGATATTGGTATGGAAATGAAGGATTATAGATACCACATCCAAATTACATCTGTCCGGGGTTTTTCACTGGGCAGCCTGGCCACTGATGCCAGGCAAGACAAAGAACATTGCAATTCCTTGTGAGAGTATTTTCTATACATGGGATCTAGCACAGAAGGTTGCATTTCTGTTGCCCCCTGCCCAGAGACCTCCCAGAACATTTTAAAAATGAAAAGTCAGAATTTTCAATGAGAAATAAACACCTTTTAGAAAGACAAATATTCAATTTTATACTGGAAACCTATTAGACAATAATAAAATCAACTTCCACCAATATCAGGCCAAACCCCTGTTTAAAAGGGGTTTTAAAGTTCTCTTGCACCTTTGTACTGTTCACTCAGTGTAAACTTACTTTGATTATTTTTCTGTAAGATTACTTTTTATAAGAATGATGAGGCAGAATTGCTACCTATTTCTGCTTGCCTTTTATTTTTCCAGTGCCTTGCATTTCTGAAACTCTTTGGGATCAAAAATCCTTGACTCTTCAAAAACTAACTCACATTTTTATGGTTTAGCTAAGCTGCACAAACAACCAGGTGTGTATGGTGAACTGCTTGGCCTCCTGAACCAGAAAGAATTGTCATGAAATAGTCACTGGTGCTCACAGAAGGCAGGAGAAATTTCAAGGAAAAAAAAAAGTCTTTATAAAATATATGCTGCCAGGTGTTTTTTTTTGGTAAGTGATACGTTGGCAAGAGAGATGGGGGATGATCTGATCTGCTTGGTAGGCACCAAGTGATCACATCTGCACAGCCAAGCTAGAAGGGTTAAAGCTGTTTAGTTCATGTACCCCCAACCACAACCTTTTATAAGCATCACACCTCTGATCTTCTGAACACCCAGTCTCAGAAAAAACTATGCTGCATAAGACAGGTCTATTATTTGCCCCAGAAATTTCCCTGTTTTTTTTTTTTTTGGTTTTGGGCTTTTGTGTTCTTTTTTTTTTGTGTGTGTTTGTTTTTGTGTTTGTTTTTCTTGTTTGTTTTTTTTTGTTTGTTTTGTTTTGTTTTGTTTTCTGTTTGTGTTTTCTGTTTGGTTTTGTTTGTTTTTAATCTATTTATTAGGCTGAATGAAGTGAATGGCTACAGTACCTTTAGCTTTATGATCTCGGGGTTGTACTGCACAGCATCTCCCCACTCCTGCATGAGTGCAGCCGTTGGCAGGTCTTTGTGAGCCAACCTGGTAACGTGCTCACTTGCTCCACCACGAACCAGGGCGAGGAAATCCTCCACGTACTGTTTCTTAGAGCTGCTCTCTGCAAAAATGCATTCAGAAAGTGGGAGATGCTAACAGCAAAACATGCCAGTATGTGATCCATCCCACGGAGAGGGCAAAGGAAAGAGGCCACGAGGGTTTCACACCTCAAGCCTGGTTTCCTACACTGTGTGTCCTGTGCCTCTCCTGCTCCCTTGCAGCAATACCCCCATCCTCCTCTCCTGCACCCTGTATCTCTCCCCCAAAACTTCTTCCCTAAGCTTGCAGGTCCTTCCACAGCCCAATGCTCCTCACCACCATGAACACCACCTGTTCTCCTCCACATGTCTTCAGGTGCACCCTCTGCCCACTGCAACACCCCAAGCTTCCCATATGACTCCTGAGGCTCCCAAACACCATTACCTCCCTGCTTTCCCCATGTGGGCTTTTTTTGGATGCAAAAAGTGGCATGCTGGGCTGCTCTGCTGAAGGGTGGGTGGAGTGGTAACACAGCACCAGCCAGGTGAGTAACAGGTGATCTGTCTCTACCTTCCCCTGGGACACTGAGCAGATATTTCTCTACCCAGCAAAGAAAATCTTGCAAATAAATCAAGCTTTGAGACCACAGATAAGCTTGGCTGGGGTTAGCCAGCAGGCTCAAAAGCAGCTGTGAGAGAGTGGGGAAATATTCTGAGATCACAAAATCTTCTTTTCACTGCAACAAAGGCTAGAAATTAAATGGCAGAAGTGTTTCATGCTTACCTCCAATCTCTTTTAAAAGGGATTTACAGCCAGCTTCAGTTATTCCAAGGCTCACATAGACACGAAAAATATTTGCACCAATGTTAAAGCCATGCTGTGCACATTTCTGGACATCACTCAGAGAATAACCTTAAATACACACCCAAAAATGGTAGTGTTTTAGTACAGTTGTTTGATGGTTTATGTCCATATACAGAGAAAACAGGAGCTGATAAATATTTTTCCTTTGGGGGAAAAAGAGATGAGATGAAGAAGCCTTTGGGGGGGATATTCAACAGAGCTGTATGAAGTGAAATGAAATCTCTACGTTTTACAGAACTCTGAAACTCTGGAAGTGCAAGTGCAAGGCCAATGCTGGAAGAGGAGCATTTCAATTATCAACTCAGCTACAAGGGGTGGGAGCCTGACTTTTAAGAGTAACAGATAAAGTAGGTTTTCCTCCCTCTGCTAGCTTACATCTTCAGTTCATTGCCCCAAGAAAAGCCTTGTTTCATGGAAGTTTCTCCATGAAGCTCAACTTATATTCCAGGAAAAAAATTATAGCTTGCCCAAAAAATCTGCAAAAATGATGTTTTTCACCAAAGTCCTTTTCCAAACTCCACGGTGTCCTGCCACTCAAGACTATTTAAGCAGGTATGATGGTGAAAATCTAGATATGACAACTCAAGTACCTCTTATTTTTCTCTGCTTTTATTTTTGTTGTTGCAACCCCCCACATTTCCCTGAATTCTTTACTTTTTTTAGACTTATGTATTGATGACACAAATGTTTACAAGAGCTCACAATGCAAGTATCACTGGATGGCTGTCCTATTTCTATGCTCTTCTTACAAATCTGATACTGGCCCAGTTTCTAGATGAGAAAAGAGGATGCACTGAGTTTTGGGTTGATGCAGGATGGCCCCTATTAATGTTCATAGTCCACATGCACCTAAAGGCAGGAACCACTTATTCTATGACGACCTTGCACAGCACAATCCAGACTTGCTGTCTTTCCCACAGGAAGTATCAAATCAGGAACCACAGACACATATGGCACATTGGATTATGTGAGAGCAGTGCAAATATCAACCATGTGACATGAGGCATAATACTAACTCTCACCTGAACTTCCAGCACAGACAGTACAAACATAATGGATTTTATGTTTATCCATAAATGGATAATCCATTTGTACTGATGGATTTGAAGGGAGAAACCTGAATTCTCAGACTGGACACACCAAACCCCAGCGAGAACTTACAGCCTGCCTCAGCACCAGAGACAGTATGAAAATGTTGGTACTGCTGCAGGACCCCGATCTAGGTCAGCAGATGTTGACAGGTGGCATTTGGATGCAAACAAAAATACACATGGCTTGTAGTGGTCCCACGCCAAGGGCTGAGAAATTTGGCAGAGCTAATGTTGTGAATACCTGAATCTAAGTTCTGTCCCTCCGGGCTGTACCTGACTACAGGATAAGCAACTTCCTAGACAGAAGAAGAGCAGAGTGAGCATCACACACAACAGAGTCCACTAAATGCTTTCACAAATAGACAGCAAAGGCAGTTACTCACTCCCATACCAATGAATAAATAAAAGAGTGCAGCTATTGATTAATGTCACACAGCTCGCTCTATCCTACACAACAATCATCATTTCTTGCAAAAAAAGGAAGCCAGAGTCAAAGAGCAAGAGCAGTGTCAGGCACAAGAGTCACCCAGCAAATTATTTACTGTTTCCTACAAGCAGGAAAAGCTCTTGAGGCTAAAGGTGTTGCAAAACTGTCATTTGAAAGGCAAGGGGGAAAGAACCTAGGTGAAGGTTTTCAAAGCTAACAAAAGTGTTAAGCTACACGATTCTCATTCATCTCAGCATCTTGTCAGCCTCCAAAACGTGACAGCTAAAACACTTGCTGTAGGGCCCTTTTTCTGAACTGGCAGCACCCACAGCTTGAGAGCTAGATGAAGCTCGTGATGCTGAGCATGCTTTGAAAACCAGACTCTTTACTCACTGCCACAAAGCACTTCTACTCCCATATTTCCTGTAGGCTCCCGTTGAGATGTCGTTGAGTCCTTCCACCATCTCTTTTTCCCCATCCCAGACCTGAACCATCATGGGGTGCCCGCAAAGGGGTTTTCCTACCAAAAAAGCTGGCCCCAAACAAAGCTTTTTCACAACCACCAGCTGCACATACCTGCCTTCTGGAGCTCGCTGCTGTTCAGGACTAAAGTATATTCATAGATGCCACCGACAGTGGCCTCCGTGATGTAATGGGTCCCGTAGTCTCTGTAGAGCTCCCTGTACTCCCCGTAGCTGTACTCGGAGGGGAGCTGACGGAGTCTCTGCAGGAACTCATAATGCAGCATCAGGGCCCTGGGCTTCAGCTTATAAACAGCAACAGCCAGCTCAGACCGGGCATGGATGAATTTGCTGGACTATGGGGAATGCAGAAGAACAAGAGAAGAACTGAGGGATGTCACAAGGACACAAGCAGCATGGCTCTACCCTTAAAAACATTGACCAGTTTTTGTCTCTCACAAGCTCTCTCCTGAAAAATCCTGACATCTGAATTCATGATAGTTTATATGTGAAATGATAATTCTCTGGCTGATCCAAGTTAATATTGATATCCCACAGAACTTGCCATTAACAAAACTCAAAGGAAAGAACAAACACACACACACACACATTTATATGTCTCTCTGTAGATATGTGTACATGGGTAAACATTTTATCTCCCCTTTCTGGCATAAAATTCAGGAACATCAGAGGTCTTTCGTCATGTTCAAAGGATTTAGGGTCCAGTTGTTAGGGCCAGCAGGACAAGCCCATCAGGGAGTTTTCAACATAGAGCTCTGTAGCTTAAATAATAAAATCAAGACTTAGTGTTTGGTTTCTTTATGGATTGGGTTTCTTGTCATGGGAAACGTCTCCTTGCAGGAAGTAAATGCAAGTTTAATAGCAACAAGGAACACTCTGCCCTTCCCCAGTGCACTTTATACTGAGGGGAGAGACATAGCTCAGTGGTATCATTAAACCATTGACAAGAGGAAGGTTTGTTTACAGCAATAACAGATGAAAAAAAGAAATCAAATGATGGTGCACACTGCCTCAGACTGAATCTCAGAGAGTTAGAGATTAAAACCTCTCCAGCCAGCTTAAAGCATGCATCAGATCACAGCTATGAGCAAATCACTGCAGAAGGGACGGGACGTGATTGTGCCATCCTTATTTTGTGTGGTGTGTGTCCTGAGCTGGTGAATAAAGCTCTTGGCAGGCAGATCACATCAGTGGAAGAGAAATGGCTTGTGTTAGTCTATGGCCAAACCCATGGAAGGTCTGCTAGAAGTTTTCCTTCTGTGCTCTTGTCAAGACAGCCCTACAGCTGAACAGCTTAGCTTCGCTCTGTGCATTATCATTTCCCACAGTGACAAGTTCCTGCCTTGCTGAACACACCTAAAAGAGGGATGGCCCTTCATGTGTGAGATGATGTTCTGCAGAGATTGCACAGATAACAGCTGTCCACACAGCAGACCCGTTTCTGGACTGTGTGTACAGGTGTAGAAATTCCTGGAGCTGCAGAAAATCCTGTGTGCCCTTTTTTACAATGACCTCACTACAACTCTCCAATTGTGGATGCCCAGCAGGAGACTGGACGGACCTCACTCGATTGGGGCTGATTTTAGAGGTTAGACAGTCCAGTTCCTGGCTGATAGGTGAATGGAAATGCTCCTGGGTGCTGTAAACATAAATGAAGGTGTTATGGCCTTAGTAAACTCTTGACCAATGCAAATGGCAAAATCCAATCAGGAGGAATGATTTCATTTATCCTGCTCACAGCTGCTGAGCTGATGGTGAGGATCAAACCCACCCACACACACACAGACAATGCCTTAGCAGAGAAGTAAGTGGAGCAGTGCTTACAGTTGAAGAAAATCTTTTCATCCTTCGAATGAACTTCTTGAACCTGTTGTCGTTTGAGTTGTAACCAAGTTCAAACAGTCCTGGTATTTTTATACCAAAGCTGAAGCTAGACTGTGAAGCTTTTGCCTTCAGGACACTGCTTTCATAATTTGAGTAGGAGTCATATTCAGTCATTGTAAATTCATATTTGCCTTTGGTCTAAACAGAAAGGAAAAACAACATGTTTAATTTCCTGCATAGTGATTGTATACCTGAAGCATGGGGAAGGAATCCAGGTACAAATATGCTTGAGAATTAATGCTTGCACTTTGAAGATGAAAGGCCTTGTATAATTGCAGAGCACTATTATTATTAACACTGGTACTTCAAGAATACTGGATTTACAGCAGCAGGAAAGCTACTATCTCTTCCACACTGCAAAGACCTCAGGCTTTCATTTACTATGTCAATCTTATGTAAAGAAGGTGAAATCTTAAACAAAGGCATCAATTAAAGTGTGAATTCTAAAAGGAAAAGGTTCCCTAGTGGGCAACACTCAAAAATTTATCATATTATGTTATCAAGAGCATTAAGGTCAAATATATAACAGTTGAAAGATAGCTTTGATCCACCATGGAATGGTGTCTTCGCACAACACACATGGTGTGCTGCCAAATCCCAGGCTGCTGCACAAGGACAGCTTTCCCAGCCTGGCTCTCAAGGTACTCTACAATTTTCCCTAAAATCAATCTCCCTCTGCCCAGTTTTTGGGCCCTCTTGGACAGATGTCACCAGGAGGTTTAGGCTCAGATTTTGCAATGGCAAGATCCAAAGGAACATCACCATCTCTTCCAGCACACATGGGTATTATAAGGGGACATGTCCAACTTCATAGAGTGCATGGGCTACGATGATGTTCTAGCAGTAGGGCTACATTCAAACCCACTTGATCTCACAAATTTTGTATTTTTTTTAACAATAGGATTCACTAATGAAGCTTTATCAGTACTGCACACTCAATTAATTGGAATATGTATGTTCATTTGCAGACAAATCCAACACGTACCTCTGGTGTATAGCTTTCAACGTTGTATGGCTTTCTGAATCTTGTGTCCATGATATAATGAGGAGAACATCCCCCTGCATAGTACTTGTGATCAAGAACTAATCCTTCCAAGTTGTTTGTGAAGATATTTAACCTGTACATGGAACATAAAAGCAAAATATTAAGATTATAATTGAGTTAGAGGTAAATAAGTGCCTTGGCTGAAAAAGTAAAAAGATTGTTTGGCTGAGGGCTCTTTGTTTCCTACTTCTTCAGAAAAACCTAACTGACTAACAAAAAAAGCAAAAGAGAGTCAAATGTTAACACTTTTGATGAATATTAAGGGCAATTTTCACCACTCAGCCATGAAAGATTACACAGCATTACTGCCACCAGCACTGGCAACTTTTGTAGCTTTTACTGGAACTCTCTGAGAAGAGCAGAACAAAGTGGACCAGCCAAACCCCCACCCCACCAGGCGGTCCACCCCGAGCATCCCCAAATGCCCACAGCAGTCTAGCAGCATCCAGCAGGATCTTCAAAGTCAGGTTTCCCAACCCATATCATCAGTCCAGACTAACTGTTAATTCACATTTCTTTGTCCTGCTTTGTCAGTCATAAGTTTTGCCACATTGGTCAAGGATCAGCCAGTGGTCAGTAGATGAGAGTAAAAATTGTCATGGAACAAGAATAAAGGTATTCCAGCAATTGTTCAACTAAACCTTGAAATCACGTGGGAGTTTTCCTCTGATTTTAGTGGATGATGGGCAGTAATCTTAACGTGTGTGCTCTAAGAAAGGATGTAGCACTGCAGCTTTTTTAGATGAGGTGATTAAACCCCATCATTGGCTTCTACTGCTGCTGGTGGGATCTGTGGCAGTAAAAACCCTTCTATTGCTGGCTGTCAGGACACCTTCACATCACCCTAGTGGCACACAACTGAGGACGTGCACTCACCTCCACAAACTCAGTCAAATAGTAACAAGAGTCATTAGATGCATCTTCACCAAAAAAACCCAAACCATAAATTGCTAACAGTCCATGTCCTGTCCCTGTTAGTGTCCCAGGTCTCTGTTAGATCAACCTCTCCTTATTTTGGGGAGAGGGACTTGCATGACTGTGAAGCTGTCAAATATTAACTCTCATTTTAGAACAATATGAAAAGAAGGGAGGTCCACTAAAAGCAAATTACTGAACAAATGTAGCTTCAAAGAGATGAGAAGCATGTTCCTATAATTGTCCAACATTATTTTTAATTTTGATTAAACTCAGAAGTACAAAGCACTAGCAATGGCATGTGCAGCAGCCAAATCTCCAGAGAATAAGGAGGAAATTATAATTTTTTTTCCTCGCAACACAATTTTTTTTTTCTTTAATGGAAAAAGCATTTTTTTTTTCCCTGCAGAATGAGAAAAACCTCTTTTCACACAGTCTGATCTTACAGGAAGTCGCCACAGTCTTAGCCTGTGTAAAAGATGGATCTATTCAGACTTGGATTTTAATCCCCACAAAGTTGGACTTTGCCAGCGTGCAGGTTAATCCTACCCTGCTCACACAAAGGACACAAATTCCTCCATTTCTCACTGTCCTGGAAGAAATCCAAGGAATTTTGACCTCTCCCAAATCAACACACTGTGCAAAAATACAATCCCATAGTCAGGCTCAGATTTTAGGCAATCCAAGATGCTGCTGATTTAAGTCTCTCTATAAAGAATGATATAACATGAATGATATAACATTATCCTCATATTTTAGCAAACCTCCCTTTGCTTTTATTTCCAAAACACAATTTGAAGTAGTGGCAACACAAAGAGCACACACAGGTTCTTGCAGGACACATTTGCAAGCCGAGCTGATGATCTTCACAGGGTGCACAAGTGCTCCTGGGTACATCTGGGACATTTACTCACCTCATCTTCCTCCAAAAGACTTGTGGAGTCAATAAGGGATTTCCCACTGGGCTTTGGATCAGGACCCCAAAGGCTCCTAACTAACTCCTAGATAGACCACTTGCTACAGGTTCTCTCCATTCAGTGTTTATATCTGAAGCCACATAAGATCATTTACCCTTAAGTAAAAAAACATCTCCTGAAGGTCACCGACTTACCCTTTTGCCAGATTCTCTATTCCCCAGTACTGCTCCATCTTGTGGTCACATTTTTTAAATACTTTTTTGCAGTTTTTTTCATCTGATTGGTCCCCACAGTCATCATCTCCATTACAAAGCAGCCTCCGTGTAATACATCTCCCTAGGAGGCAAAGTGTGAATTACTCACCAAATAATGTATTATCACACTCCCTGACTCAGAGGATGGGAACAAAATAAAAGACTCCTGTAATGTGTGGTTAAATCTAGCTGGAAAACACTCCTTCTCTATCTGTATGGACCACCAAACTCCACCTGCTCAGTTTTGCTCAAAACTTTCATAACCTTGAAGTTCCTTGTTCAACCTAGAAAACCCACCACCCAAATCAAAAGTGTAAAAAAGAAGTTTTTCATTGCTAAATATTTATAGTTTTGAGGAGACAAATGTGCTGGAGACTGTCCAGCAGACCTTGTGTGTTCTCCTGTTGCTGTTACATCCACTTGTGCTACAGATTTTGCTGATATAACTGGGGTTTAATTCCCTATTTGGAGATTTTAAAGACATGCTTTAGACAGACAGATGCTGGCAAATAGACTCACTCAAAATCACTGATGCAAACACAAACACAAGCGTGGATGGTCCTATGTCAACTCCTGACATCTCTTTGGCCCAGCAAACTCTTGTAGAAGCAGAAAGTTCAGGGTAGTGGCATCAGAGATGCCACCTGAGCACCAGCACTTCTCAATCCCTAAGTCCTCACCTGTAACTGCACACACAAAACCTTCACATCTGACTTTATTCCTGCAAGGATTATTTGTGACACAGTCTTGGGTCTCTTTGTCGGGGTAATCACAGGGCTCTCCATTGAACTGAGAAGGTTGTTCCAGGCGGGCAAATCTGTACTGTGATAAAATAAAAATTATTGACTCCAGTGTACAGAAATTGTGAATTTTACGCTTCCCTAGTTAAAAAAAAAAACCAACAAACTTTGTGTCAGGGAGAGCTGATCTAAGAGTTGTGGCATATTAAAGAAAAAAAGTGCTGGTAAAGAAGTGCAACGCTGGTAACGTGCCTCATTTGAAAGGTTTCTGATCTGTGACAGTTTTAATTTTACTAAGGAAAGATTGAGGATGTGGAAGGATGAAGGGAAGTTTGCTTTTCTATGACAGTTTGTTTAAATGAGCCTGACAGCCTAGTGCGGGCATTTGCAAGAGTAAGGAAGGATTCAGTTACATCTCCTCTCTTTCAATTAGCACCGGTAACGACATCCCTTGTTATTTTCTGTCAGTGTATTTACTTGGCCCTCTGCATCATTAGGGATTTTTTTTCCGCCCACACCACTGCTGTGAAGCAGTCAATTACTCCGTCCAATATGTTATCCCTCCTTTTCTCCTCAGCTTTTCAGATTAACTCTTTGATAAAAAGCTTCACTCCCATCACTGGTTATTCCCACTTAAGCCTGGGAATGGCCTCTCCAACTCGTTAGCAGAGGTCCCTCTAGCAACAGGGATTTTGCACTTCACACTATTGGGATCATTACTTTCATTGGATGGGGCTTCTTGGGTGGAAAATGCTCTCTGGCAGACAAAAAAAAAAAGCACCTTAATCCTGAGAGGCACCAAGTGACTCCAGGTCCCACTGGGGGACCATTAGCGGGGACAGTGCCTCGCACTGATGCTGGAAGAAGACTGTGTTGGACAGAAAGTCACTGCAAAGCCTAGGCTCAGACCTTCTCAGGACAGCAAGGCAGCCTGGAAAGCACTGGAGTTACAGCAGGGTGGTGAGCTGGAGAGCTAAAAGCCACCTGCAAGCCACCTACAGCCTCCCTGCACAGGGCTTTCCTCAGCAGCTTCCCGCTGTTTGCCCAACCAAATCAGTCAAGGCTTGGCAGAGGTCCTGCCTCCTAGCTTCTTGGGCTTTGTGTCCAGACCACAAACACTCACCCTCTTCCTCTGGCAGGGGTCGCAGCTGCTCCAGGAGGACCAGGCCGAGCGCAGGCAGTCGCGGGGCTGCGGCAGGCCGCCCACCGAC